ACGGGCTTTAAGTCAACGGCACACGATACTATTTTTCCTACTATTGCTTACGAGAGCCAATCAGAGTGCACAATTTCGATCAGGTGACTCAAAGCTGAATCCTGATTGGCTCTCGTAAGAAACCCAGTAGCAAAAATAGTATCGTATGCCGTTGGCTTCATATAATGGGGGACGCTCAGTCTATATTTACTTATGTCTATGCACTGAACATATTTACTTATGTCTATGCACTGAACACAGTGCAGCTACAAGAAGCAGTATTTGCAATTTTTGGTGCAATCCGGTGCAATCGTGAGTTTCGACGGCGAGTCGTGTATGCAATCTCTCTCTATTTTGCGTCAATTACATTTCCATAATTCGAAATTATTTAATAATATTTAATTTATAACAATATGCTTAATATATTTAATTCGTGCCGCTCGTACCGCATTTGCGTATCGTAGATTCGAGGTTGTCTCCGACACGTGGGTCATCAGCTTCCCCGAAATACTGTACGCAATTATACGTAATAGTTTTAAATAGACTTGGTTTTTTCACAGCTATCCTGCCGAGTATGTCGATTCTGAACACGCTGCATCGAGTAGGAGCGTTGGCGCGAGCGAGCTTAATTCATAAAGTGAGTTCTTCGAGCAATAAACTGCCAGTGTGAGGCAATATCCTTCGGATGACTTCGGCCGGACTCCGATTAGCTTAACCAGCGATTAACCTGTCGAACAACACCTGCAGTATTTTCTTGACATAGAATTACTGATGTTTCCCTGTTTAACAAGCGGCTCGTTTTTTATTGCTGCATCGGTGAACTACTGCAGTAAGCTAGGATGAAAAAGAATATATACCTGTCTTACTCCAATTTATTGCACTGGTTCACCAGTGCAGCGATAGAAAACAAGCCTGAGATGAGTAAATCAGGAGCAACAAGTTGCATCTAGAAAAGTTTAGTTGGAATTTTTGCTTCGAGCAACTGCGCTTAGGCGCTAGTTAATTGATCGCCGATTAGCTTAATCAGTGATTAAAATCGCAAGGTTCCTAACTGTGTAACTTGCTGCCCTCAGTCTAATCCTCATACTCCTGTGTTAAGTGATAAAAATCAACTGTTCTATCTACATTAATAAAATAGTACAGGTATTGCTTGCTAAGTTAATCGCCGATTAAGACCCGGTTGCACCATTGTCACTTGACTTTAATAGCTTAGCTTAATTCACCCCTCGTGTCTAAGGGAAACAGAAAGAGACGCAGAGTGAATCAAGCTAAAGTGAAAATTCTCCGACGTTGATGCAACCGGGCCTGAGTTAATCAAAGATTGGGCGAAGTCGTCTTTATAGTTGTAAATTGCTTACAGCTCGATTCTACGAGGACCATCGCGTTTTCGCTCACGCGTTGCTCCGAAACGAACAATGTTACCGAGACACATGCGACTGAGGGAGATGTAACTGGGGATAATAGCCCAGCCGCGGGGACTCCCAAGGTTGCAGCTAGACCAGTTGTATCGGTAGAGACCAGCATCAGTTATATGAACAGTGACGGTAAGAAATGAGTGTTAAATGCAACGGTAGAGTCTGTCTTACAAATTTGCAACACAATTATCATGTAACCGCATTTATTACGAAATCCAGCTTACAAGAAAACTTACGGAGACGATCCGGTATGGACACAATATAGAAGGAATCACAAAGGAATGTTCCCACCTAGAAAGACACGAAGAACTTGTATAGTACGTATACGGACCTTTTATCGCGTTACGACACGATTAGTACGACTAGTGCTTTCCACTAATGCTGTGTAATCGATTAGAGAGGCGACCAAATCTCTACTGGAAACCCGTGTCCCATATGCAGGGACGAGTATCTCGTATTAGATCACAGAAACGTCAAGCTGCTCGAGCAGTTCATCAACAAACATAACGGAAGCGTTCTGTGCTACTCGTAAGCGTTCAAGTTTTATCATCAATATCTTTTTATATGTTTCCGTTACATTGTGCCTTTTGACGCGCATCTCGCATGTACATCTTTGTGGAGCTCGCTTTCATTTGCAGGAAGACAAATATCTGCCAAAAGAGGCACAAAGAACTCCTGGTCGCGTTAACCAGAGCCAAGGATTACGGGACTATCACATTCGACGTTCCTACGAGGATGTACGATTACTCGGAGTGGAAACCGAAAAAGTGGAACATACATGATTAATTTTCATCATCGTATTACGGCGTTTATGTAGTCCTGCATTGAATATGGATGAATCCGTGGGAAATATGGAAAGGATGGAGTCTACGTTTGTCATAATAGGAGGCGGCATAGCTGGAGTGTCTTGCGCCGAAGGATTAAGCTTCCTCGCTCCGGAGGAGAGCATAACTTTAATTACCGCTAGTCCCTTGGTGAAAGCTGTAACGAATATAGTTCCACTGGGCAGAACATTAATGCATTTCGACGTGGAAGAAAAGAGCACGACAATGTTGAGCGAGAAGCATAAAATGTTACGAGTCATTCATGATACCGCGGTTAAAATCGACACGGTGGGGAAGCTGGTAGAGATCGGCGGTGGAAAAGTCATAAGCTTCAAAATGCTGTGCCTTTGTACCGGCGCGAGACCCAAGCTGATCGCCAACGGCAACGATTTCGTTCTAGGTATTCGCGACACGGAATCCGTGTTACAATTTTCTCGCAAGCTTAAGGACGCCAGGAGGGTCCTGGTCGTTGGCAACGGCGGAATCGCTACCGAGATCGTGCACGAAGTTAAGGGCGTTGAAATGATTTGGGTGATCAAGGACAAGCATATCTCCGCAACTTTTGTCGACCCTGGAGCCGCGGAATTCTTTTTAGATAAGATCTCGAGATCCGATGTACCGGGAAACCTTGATAAAAATTTGCCCACCAAAAGAATGAGATACGTTGTGTCGGATAACGCGTCGGTTGAAAACGGGGCTGCTCTTGGCCCGGATTGGCATAATAGCTTCGATATGGGCCGCGCGCGTTTTACGCCTACGAACGTCCAGGTAGAGTACGAGTGCGAGATATCGAGATTACTCACTTGCGACGAACGAAAACAGTTTGATCCTACGGAAGAGTGGCCGGTTTACGCGCATCTGACAAATGGCAAGATTATTGGGTGCGACCTTATTATCTCGGCAACAGGTGTTACCCCAAATTCCGACATATGCGGGTTAGAAGAGCTCGAACGTGGCGAGGATGCTGGATTGTTAGTGGATTGGAAGCTGGAGACGTCGAAGAAGGATGTCTACGCTGCCGGAGACGTGTGTACCGTCGGCTGGCCGAAGGTAAAACATTGGTTTCAGATGAGACTGTGGACGCAGGCTCATCAGATGGGTCGCTACGCCGCTAAGGCGATGGTCTCGAATTTAAGATGCGAGGAATTCCTGCAAGACTTTTGCTTCGAACTTTTCACTCACGTGACCAAATTTTTCTCCTACAAAGTTGTGTTACTCGGTTTGTACAACGGGCAGACGTTGGGAAAGAATTACGAGATACTTTTGCGAATTACCAAGAATCAGGAGTATGTGAAGATTGTTCTGCAGGACGGCAAAATGCAGGGTGCAGTGCTCATTGGGGAAACAGACTTGGAGGAGATGTGTGAAAACTTGATACTTAATCAGTTGGATTTAAGTATGTATGGCGAAGATTTGTTAAATCCTGACATCGACATTGAAGATTATTTCGACTGATATACTATTAACTTTTTAATAAACACACACATATATCAATGTTGTCGTGTTAATCCCGTTTCTTATTGTAATACGATAAAACTTAATACTGCATGTCACTCATTGATTGATTTATAAAAATTTATTGTCATTTAAGGCACATAAATATGAATACTTTACAAAATATTCGCAATCCTTTTTACACGTACAGTCTCACAAGTTCGCGAATTTTAATTTATTTTGGAAAGCGAATTAAACCAAGTCTTTTTAAATACAAATGTTAAATAAGCATTGAAGATTCTGATATTTTAATCATCGGCAAGTACATACGTTAATTATAATCTATCATTAAGTTACTCTACGTATATATGCTTAATATACAATTTGCAATACAATATTCTTAAGTTACAAATACTACTTTCTTACAAATTACGGAAAAGTAGAGTTTGTAATTTACAAAATGTTCTACTTTCACCTAAAACATACTTTTCAAATAAAATCTTGCATTTCCTACTAAAAGCCCCTTTCAGTTCGGTCACATAAAATAAAATCTTGTTTTACTAAGGCTAAATTAAAAAATGTGGACCAATAATAATCAAAATAATAAAACAATGAAAGTTCATAAAGGGTACATTCTAATAAATGACTTATAAAATGTATTAAAATGTAAAATTTAATGTGTTGCATAAATCTGAATTTGCGATGTAATATGTATTATTAATATTATATATGTTTCTTATATTTTTAAAATGGCAATAGTGGAAATTTATTAAAAAGTAATGAGTATTTTAAACAGCTATTGCTATTTATTTTATCAAGTCTTGATGTGCGACTTTGTCAGTAAACCTCACGTTCTTTTGAACATTCCCATCTTTCGTATCCAGCGCGTTATTCCGTATACTAGATTTCTTTGGTGACATACCGTGACTTAAGCAATTTTCAACTTCGTTTTTTGCTAACTTATCTGTGTCATTATTGCTGATGTTATCTTCTTCCTTGCAGTCATTCGCATCCTTATTATGCTGCGAAAGAATGTTGTTTACATCATTCGACATGTCGATAACAGTATTATTAGCACTTTGGTTTATCGAATTTGCACTACTATCCTCGCTCGAGTCTTTATTCTGCAAGCTATTTTTTAAGAACTCTATAATATCTTGCATCTTAGCCAACGATTCGACGACCGGCTCAGTATCGTGGTTTTGGTACCGACGACACAGCTTGTTCAACGTTTTCGTAGCGACTTCGATTTGAGTGAGACACGCATTCACATCATCTTGTTGATCATGCATTATGGACGCATCGTCATTCATCGTCGTTTCCAGTAACAACTTGTCTAGATGGATACTATTGTTCAGCTGTTTTTTCACAGGGGTCATGTTTATGGAGATTTTACTATTATTCAAGGAATCTTCAAATACTTCCGTCTCGTAAGACTCCCACTTGCAATTGAAATGACGTAGTTCCTTCATTGAGTCCTTTATAGTATCACAGCTTCTCAGGCCGTAAATCCAATTCAGAAAGTCCGTCGCCTGCCACAGCGTTTCCATCGCAATCGTTTTATCACGAACACGAATCACTGGCTGTAAATTATTTTCCACCACTGTTTGTTGTTGGTCAAATTCCTGAAATTCGGAGAAAAACTTAGAGCATTTTTACATGACGTCAGTATACAATGTATGTTACAGCCAGTAATTCTTTGTCAAAAAAAAGAAACGAATCTTGTTACAAAATAAAAATAAAGTAACATGTATGCGTCTATTCGCTTATGATATTAAATATGTATGTACGTCAAAGCAAATACAACTTTTTTTCTAACGTTTTGCTGCGGCTGAAGTGTTATAGCTAAAAGCTGCTAAAGTTTAAAAGCATATCAGTCTTCGCGATGACTGTATCTTGCATGTCGAAACAGTTCAACGATATCAGTAGCTCGTATCGTCACCGCATCACAGTTGCAAAAACAAATTCTAATACACATGAAACGTATGTAAATAGAGACTCTGTTCTATACGCTGCAATATTTAAAATAATTTTTCGAGGGCTGCACAGGCAATTGAAAAATGGAGATTTTATGTTTCTTACTTATTTTTTTGCGAAAATATTACTACACGACGACATTCTGTGTAACAATTTGTACACAATTATTATAAAATGACTCACAAAATCATATCCGGCTTCTTTACATCGCTGAGTCGCTTCTTTAACGAGTATTTGCATCTCGTGTAAACTGACCCCACCAGCAGTTATCGTATCCCCATTAAGCTTCATTTTTAGCGCGTTCTCAATGTCTGCAGCCTTCTCGTTCAAAATACTCTCGAGTTCTTGCAGGAAATTCGTTTTATACGGCGTTAATTTCGCGTGACTTTGCTCCAGCTGCATTTTCTTAATCTTATTGTTGGCTTCCACCTCTTTGCAAAGCAACTCCTTTTCCAACTCCAGCTCCTTTTTTCTATGATCAATTTGTTCGAGTGTGTGCTGTTGTTCCTTCAGTGTGATATCCAAAAATTTGATCTTCTGCTCGTACTGCGATTTTTGCGAACCGAGTTGCAGTTCTACTTCACGCTTGGCGCTCTCGAGTTCCTTTATCGCTTTCTGTTTTGATTCCTCCAGTTCTGCTCTTAATCTATACGGAAAAAATTACTGTATTAAAAATGGCAAACTTCTAACCAATAACTCTGTCGATAATACTTATCGAAAAAAATTACAGCCAGAACGCAGTTGTGTTGAATTTATTAAGCAATTATTTTAATAATCAACTCGATAACAGTCATCGAAACCATTTGCATCTATAATGAAAGCAGAGATAGCAAAAATAAAATAATACGATTAGATTATCCCCCGTGACAAATGAATATGCACTAACGACAATAAATAGTTTTGTACAAACCGCGTTCTGGTTTTAAGCAAAATTGGCCCTTTTTGAGACTTTATGTCGTTTTCCAGCTACATTTGTCCCAATAAGAGCGATACATACCTTTCTTCCTGTATTCGAAGAATTTCCTGGTGCGCAAATTCAAAATCAATCGCTTGTGTGGAGAGCTTGGCATTGCAGAATTCATCGTATGGATTTAGAACTTTAAAATAGTGATTACCGCCGATGACTAAGCGATCGCCATGTTTAAGCATAATTTTTCCGGTTACCATCTAAGAAGTAGAAATATTTTTATTTAATGTTTCTTATATCATTAATTAATCCTTTTGATCATTACCTGTCCATTGACGTACGTGTCCGCATCCATCTCGGGCGTCAAGATTAGTTTTCCTTCATTATTTTCAATAGAGCTGGATGAAAAGAAACGAACTTGTAGCAAACGATCGTCAACAATATCTTAACTAACATAAAAGAGAGATTTCAAAACTTTGGTCATTTAAAGAAAACGGGAAGTGTATATAGGCTCTATAGAAAAATGCGAAAAACTAAATCGAAAAATAACGGACAATAAAAGCCGACACAGTTGTTCGGCAATCATACAGTACATGTATTGCAAGTAAACAAAATAATAAAAACGATAGTCAACTTGGTCATTTATATACTGAGATTCGAGTGTTGAGCAGAAAGTTGGAACAAGCACTTGATGAGTGTTTAGTTTTCTTTCAAGTAGCACATACATAAATGCATCTCTTTTTGCAGACGAGTTGCAATTCGCTCTACATTTATTAGCGACAACAAATAAAGTTTAAATATTGCGTCGTAAGTTTTCGACTTGTTTCAATTCCAATTTATTCAGTAACTGAATCCTTAATTCTGTATAATGCGACACGATACCAATGAATACGTTAAAGTTTAACTATAAATAGAACGTGAATGTTACGCAAGACATTGGACAAGGTTTATAAAATTACAAAAACACATCAAATCTCTTCATTTCACCTCCTGCCAGTCTCTCTCTCTCTCTTTCTCTCCATCTAGTTGGTAAAATAATTTATACAAATCAATAATTGCAATTCACTATCAGATATGTGGGTAGCAATGACAACATGCATTAGAATTAGAAATGATTAGTGGGCTTGTCACGGGAGACAAACGATGCAAAGCGTGCTGATAAATAGAAATACATAGTAATTTTGAAAAGTTCTCGGAAGTGCCGCTGTAATTCACAAAAATAGCGAGGCAATGAGAAAGATCCTTAAGCTCTATTAAAGTAACGAAAGTTGCTTATTCTTTTAACGCATGTGATATCGAATTGAAAATATCTATAATTGAAAAATATACAAACACTAAATTGTATATTTTGTTGACAAAAATCACCAACAAAAATATTAATTACACTATAGCAAGGGAACGAGTAAAACGATAAAAGATCTCGAATTTACGCCTGGCCTACTTGTGAAAGGACAGCACTTTATGAGGCTGACATTATTGAGAATGCAAATACAAAGCCGAAAGACCTTGAAATATTTTTCAGAAATGCGACAGCCTTACTGGCTGACTGACAACTACAGATGCGCTTGTGAAAATGGTTGAAAAAGTTTGGTTTGTAGGATTGTATAATAAAATTATGTTTTATATTTTTCAGAAAATTGCGATTCCGGGGAACTTTCGAAGCTGTTAATACGAGACAGAAAACATATTTATAGCAGATGAAAAATGTACATTTGACAGAAGAAAAACCTCAGCAACAATAGTTAGAAGAATACCTATTCTCTTTTTCTCCCTCTTTCTCTCTATTTTGCCCTAAGCGCAAAAAAAGCACAAATGCACACACAATCCATGACTAACCAGTGCAGCGCCCTAACAAGAGGTCCATCCAACATGATATCCAGATTTACGACCTCCGGCCCGCTATTCTTCCCGATACGAACCAAACCTGGAGGTATAAGATACAAAAGTGTACCGGACAACAGAGGATCGGCAGCGAGATTTACGAGACAAGGCTGCTTATCTCTCTCTTGGAAATCGATTTCGATGGCGATTCCGCAACGGCGCAAATATTTCAGTTCCGAGCTTTTCCTCTCTTCGGCTCTTTGAAACTTTTCGTGCGGACTCCTGCAATTATACGTGGCTAACCAATTAAGTCTTACCGATTCAACGTAAATCGAAAAGAAGTCAGAGTTGCGAAACTCTTTAATCACACCGCACTCGCGACAACAGCTAGCGAGAACATATTAATCCTGGAACTTCAAACAAGGTTTAATAGAATAATCTAAAATTAAATTATAGCTTCGAATCCTTGAGTGTAATAAAACTTATGTAACAGCTGAGAATATAAAACATATCGCAGTTAAAAATCACATCTCACAATTACAGTCTTCAAATAATTAATTCCAAAATTTACAAAATTATCACAGCTGACAATTGTCCTTGCCTCGGAAGTATTTCTTCCAGGAATAAAAAGGAAAATCGGTAATTTTTTGGAAAAAATTAAAATAATACGACAGAAAAATTAAAATATCATCGTCTCGTTTTTTTATCCCATGTATGAGAGATCAAATTATCTTACTTACATTTGAGTAACAGCCAACTGTTCTTCCGTTTTTTTCAATTGATCTTTCAATTTATCAATTTCCTTTTGTTTTTGCACGACTTCCTTATCGGACTGGTGGGTTGGACTCCAAGCGTACGACTTGATGCGATCGAGCAACTGATAAGGAATAACTCCATACTGTTTCTCATATCCCTTGCGCACTCCGCGTAGACGTAGCACTTCGGCCTTTAACTCGCTGATGAAGCAAGTTATTAAAGTTAATATGTTAGTTAATTAAATTGCATTTTATTAAGATCTTAGGACAATGAGATTTCAGCCCTTTTACGTAATTTATCTTCGACATATTCACGGCAATTTTGCACTGCGCAATTCAACGATAAGCGAGGACTGCGGGAGATGTTTTCTTTTTACCGAATCAGCCGGTCGTGCGGATCTTCGTTGATGCGGATTCGGTTGACTATAGCTCGAGCTTGGCACGCATATCGAAGGGTCGCCAGGGTCTCCTCCACGTGGACATTGGCCGGTGACACTGTTCCCAGCATCGCCGTACGTGAATTCCCTCCCAAGCTCTCCTGCGAAAACGTTCGTTCGTATTTGCATAATATTTTTAATTGCCTTACATATAAATTTGTCTGCGGTAAAAGGTACAACCCCTATCGCGCATTGCATCAAAAGTGTCGAAAGATCGCACATCTAATCAATTGCAAATTCAGTCGTCCGATATCGTTATCGGTGCTGTACTGGTTATCCATCAACTGCGCGTTGTTTCCTCAAGCATCAGTAAATAAGGGATAAGATTTCCAAAGGTGGATTCCCCCCTCTATATTCTTTGTTTTCGCGGTACTTCAGATAATCTTGCGGGCGCTCGCTTCTTTTTTTAACTCTACAATCTTTCGGATTCCTATCTTCCATCTCGCAATTTGCGGTTCTGTCCCCACAGCGCTCTCAGCTCTCGCAAATAAATGGGGATTTAAATAATACGACGGAAAACATAAGGCAAATCAGAGTCTTATATGTCATATACAAGAGGAATGACAAAATTTGAAGTACAAGAATTTAATTCACCTGCGCCAAGTACTTTATACAACGGTGGCAAATTGCAACCTCGGGAATTGTTGAAGCAAGCAATTATATACATTTGCGACTGGAAGCTTTTTTGCTCGTATTACGAATATCAGCGTTGCGAAACTGTTATCTCAAAAATGCGCGAAATTTACGATGGCCTTAAAACTTGTATTTTCGCAATTGTAAGAAAATTGCATCGTTTATGACGCAAATTTGCGCGAGGTAAAGTTATGGAAAATATCGCGTCCGAACTTGTCAGATAAACTTGAAAAAAAAACCTATTTATTACCGATATTTATTGCTAATAATTATAAATGGACGATCTGTATCAGAGAAGATGTGCGGAAATACTGAAGTGGCAGGAATATGAGCATTTGGCAACAAGTACGTAGATAAAATATTTTTAAGTGGCGCTCACTCATCTGCATACACCTGACTGCATCATATCGAAATAAACTGATAAACTTTTGTGCGATAAAAACAGGAAGAAAAAACAAACTTTAAATCCTTAATATACTTTCATTAACAAAAGTACTAAAAGAAACCACGGCACGGGAGAAGGCAGTAAGAAATTAGCAGAAAGAGGTTTGCAAAGGGGTGCAAGAGAAATTAACAAGAAAAGAAGGCAATGGCGTACGCGCAGAAGAAATAGATACGGTATGTTGGAAGCGAAGGTGTTAAAAAAGAAGAAAAGCAAAACAAAAAACCAAGTGTCACGGTTTTCTACTGCCTACCGTTTCGCTAATCTGACCTAGAGACCCTGTAATCAGAGACTGGCCGTAAGAGTTCGTCAAATTCCCGCGAGTGAGAGAGAAACACAGGCTATCTCTGATTCTACGGTCGCAGAGGAGTGAGATGGCCTATGTTTCTCTCTCACTCGCGGGAATTTGACAAACTCGTTACGGCCAGTCTCTGATTGCAGGGTCTCTAATTTGACGGAGTCGCGCGGTAATTTTTGCTAAATATTGTAAAAAAACATCACGGAAGGAAGACTCGATTGGACAACAAGATAATCGATCATGAGGCTCGATCATTATTTATTGGGATAAGTGTATTCAATACCATCTACCGCGCAAGTCTATCTGCGTATCTGCCGATCTTAACGAACTGTTTTTACCGCGGCGCGAATAACGATCTGTTGAAGCGATAAGAAAGAACCGTGTATAATACAACGCTTATTGTGACGCTTCAATTATTTGTTCCGTGTGAATCAGAGTCGCAAAATGTGTCGCAGAAAGTCGTACGAAGTCAGCAGAATGGAATGTCCTTGCTTTTCCCCGTGCCGAGAGGTGGTTAAATGCCCAAAAGCCCATCGACGAGGTTGCAAGACCGCCTTTCTACCTTCGCTACGTCATCTTTCATTTGTATTTATACTTGGTCGGAAACGGGCGTATAAATGGACGTTGAAAGGGGAAAAAAACACCAGAGGCTATCTTTAAACATTTTCATACGTCAGGCAAAGGGGAACCAACACAGATAAACCATCCAGATAAAGAAGTTTACAAAATCTTCGGAAAAAACTGTTTCCATTAACCCTGCAACGGGACTCATGGGTCATTCGTGCCCTCGATGTTTTGAAAATGTGAATCCCTAGGAAAACCCAGTTAGTATGTAAAAAATGTTTGGGGTGGGGATAGAATGTGGCCGCCAGCGCGCCGGAATCCACCATGTACCTGCGACTGGCAGCGAGAACGGATCTCCGAAAGGCACGAGTGACCCATGAGTCCTACTAACGTATGTAAAATCCGTTTTAAAAAGTTTTTTGTTTACAAATATGTTTCTTAACTCGTAATATAAATGTTTTTAAAGGTTTGAAGTCGATAAGTGCGAAAATGAGTCTAAAATATGAAAAAAATATGAAAATATGAGTAAAATATGAGTCTAAAATAGCGACAGAATGCCAAAAAGAAAAAGGTGTCACTTCTGCCCAACCAAAACAGACAGGAAAACGTTCTTCTGCTGTTATAAATGCAAACAATCGGTTTGTGACGATCATCGACTTGCGTGCTGTCCAGAATGCTCGTAAAATTTCAAATGATGTAACATTATGTTATTAATTATGTAATTTTATGTTAATTTCATATAAATGCCAATACTTGACAACTTACCTACAGAGTTTTTCATTTCAATCATCCATATCTTATATCATTAACAAAAGTTATGAATTTTATAAATTTACTCCGATTTTTTCCATTTTCCTTTGTTCAAAATCAAAACTTTTAATGACAAAATAATCTTTATTATGTTTTTATTGTTGTAATTGATAAATAAGATGTCAAGGAACATCTATGAATTTTTTCAGAATTATTTGTTTACTTTAAGGTTATTTAAATCATCGCGGACACCAATGCATGAGTCCCGTTACTGGAGCCTCCAGTCTGGAGGTCGAAAAACAGAGTGCCGTTGCAGGGTTAACTTGGACGAAGAGCATTTTATTACATAATAATATTTGTTAATTTTAATGCAGTCTCAATAATAACAATATTAATACATCAATATGCATACTTAGATTACGATTAATGTTTTAATATCAAATAGAACAATAATATTGATCAAAAGTAGGAAGCAGATAACGATTGCATTTTCTATCTTCATCGGCGCCATCGAAAACACCGCCTGCGACAATTATAGCGACAAATTGGCGAGATCTCTCGCACTTCTGACGATCGAAAAACCACGTTATCTTATCGAACTCGTTGCTAAAAAAGCAACGTTTCTTTCAAATGAGTAAAAACAACGAAGAAATCTGGGGAGAAGCGATATGTCCTGCGCCGCAAGCGCACGCGTCGGCACGCACGTACGCACGCGCGCGAGTACATGTGTACGTGCGCACGCACGCACGCGATTCCCTTCGTACGCGCGCGTGTCGTTACCTTTTGCGCGTCGCACAAATCTACGTGAAACGGCGAAGGTGATTGGCGGAGCGGGAGGTGGGGCGCCGAGAATGTAAACGCGAGCGTACGCATTTCCAAAGGACGGGAGGGGATGGGAAGATGTATTTGTATCGGACGGAAGAAGCGGTAAAAGGGAAGCGGAGTGGGGGGGCAGTGTTCGCCAGATAAGAAATACGCGCGTCTACGCGTCGTTCAGTTCAAAGCTGGCGAGAGAGCCGAGAGGCGACGAGAGACTTCCGTCCCCGAGAGTACTTCCTGCTCTTCTCTACTCTTCCCACCCGCGGCGGAAGAAACTGCGTTGTGACGCACATCTTAGCAACACGCGCGGCGAACGAGAGATCGGCTTCTCGGAGCAGCCTGAGAGGAGTCGAGAGGAAGCGACCACGCTTCACCACGAGGCGACAATTCGTGCATCCGACACGATACAGCCCCGCGCCCGCTTTTAACGCCGTCGAGCAGCGAGGGGCAGCCATGGATCTCGTTTACATACCGGAAGTGCTTACCTACGAGTTCTCGCGGCACACGCAGTACCGCGACTACGAGCAGCCCTGGAACAAGGACTACTTCAGGCCCACCAGCAGTAAGCGCCGAATTCTCTCTTCATCTCGTTGAGTTGTGCGCTCCGGTTTAGATTCAATTCCGATACTTAGATTCAATTCAACTCTGTGATTGGTTGAAAACACATCAAGCGTTTTCCAACAAAACACAAAAATAATAACCTCAATCATATATAAAGTGATTTTTTTAATTTCTCTTCGTTCTTTTATATAAAGTTGCCTGTTCCTGGTTTTGTCTTTATGCGTACTTCAATCGTAACGGAAGAGAATTTTGCAATTTTATAAAGCCAATTTCAAATTTAGTTGAAACTACAAATTGAAAACTTCAAATACCAATATCTTTTTTTATTAGACTTCTGAACTGAGTGTTTTAAGTATGCAAATGTTCTGCTACGCGGCCCGCAACTTATCCTGGTATTATTTTGTGCATAAAAGCTAATAAAACGAATTACAAGCGCAAAAAGTACATTTGACTGTGTCGGTAAAAAAGATGGCTGAAGGATCCTCTTAATTTAAAAAAACTCACGTTTTCTAGAACGTTCTTTTAATCTTCAGTCGTCGCGCTGTTGTCTTTTTTTTTTTGTAACACGAGTCGATAGAGAATCTTGAGAGACTCTCAATACAAAAAGAAATCAATTAATATATTCTTCTACGTCGAGAGCTCAAGTATGTTTTTCGTTTAATTAAGTTTTTAAGTTCATGTAGAATCTGCGAAAAGACCTTAATTTGGAAATAATAAATGTTTATGCACGTCCCGCGCGACGACTGGAAGATAGATTAGAGCTGTGTCCTTGGCAACGACTTGTTAATTGATAACAAACTATAAACACGCTCTAGTTATTAAGTACTATTAGCACTGAGAACGATAAGCGTCTGCTTGCAGTTATACTAGTCGCGAACGCATTTCTTTGAACGAACGTGCAGGAGGATCCCGACTTTACGCACCGCGCGATTCATCAATTAACCGACTCTTTTTTTTTTAAATATCGATAACTCCCAAGTTCGAAGAGACCAACGCCCGATTCTACCAATGCGGATTAACTTCGATCTCGGTGTTAACTTGCTTTAGCTCTCTTTCTAGTTTTAAAAATTAGAAAAAGATAAAAAGTAATTTAAACCGATATCGAAGTTAATCTGCGTTGGTAGAAACGGGCGTAAGACCCGACTTTTCGCGGATCAGAAATGAATGTCGGAGAGCTGCTAGCAGACTTAAAATCCTTAAATTTAAAAAATTTGGAATGAAACCAACGGTCTTCTTCTCTGATTCGTGGCAAAATTTTGATTTAGGACCAAGCACCGAGATATCTAATAAAAATGAAAGAACTGATAAAACATTGATACCCTCGAAAATTTTTACCACGAAAAGTTCGGCCGCGCGAAGTCACTTAAAGCCCTCGCACAAATAAGACCCGTTAAAATTTGCCCCAGATAAGATTCCTCTTTCCGTAATAATGCATAACGACTCTGTAAAAACGCGAACAGCTTCTCGCGTGCCGCGAGCACAATTATCAATGCTTAATTTTGGCGCGGTGTCCCCAAGTGGCACGCGAAACCGATTTTCCAACGTAAACGAAAAAACAATTTCACGAGCGACTAATGCCGACTCGACAAACGAAACTTTCCGTTTTCGGCCCCACGTGTTTTTCCCATGTGTGCACCTTCGAACACGAGACCGCGAAATTAAGCCGCGAGGTAAACATCGTATTTTCGGCCAGAAAAGATTACGAGCGCTCACAATCAGTTGGCACTGACAAGTTATCTTCAGACAATATTTTTTTCGCGCCTCTCGCCGCGCGCTACAGGAAGACGTATCTTATCTCCGAGTTTAATTCCATCGGCCTGGACCGGTGTGTTTGGGTACTTATCCGTTAACCGAATTCACAGATGCAACTTTTTCTCCACCCGAGTCCTCGAAATCGCCGATAAGTATTGCGGGTGCTTCGCAAGCTTCGCAACAGATAATTTAACGCGTCGAGGTATCTCCCCGTTATATCTCGTCAAAATTGCCGTCTATATCTTGACATCCATCGAGAGGTGTTCGAACACTCGAAGAGTGTTCCTCGATTGAGTCGTTCACGCGAGCGGGGAAAGTGCCTCAAACGACTGCGTCGGCATTACCTTACACGAGGAGAAAAGGCACGAAAGTGAGAGCGAGAGCGAGAGAGAGAGAGAGATATTTAATTTTGAAATATTTTCCAGGCAGAATCTGGTAGATTTCCCAAGTGTCTCCTTACCTTGAGATATAGGAGATACATAAATACCGACATAATCCACATATCTACTGATAGTATTGCTGGCACAATAATAAAATCAGCTAATAAAGCGAGGCAATAGAGCAACTCGGGTAAAACGGTCAAGGCGAAATAAGCCGAGGGAAGCGAACTGAAAACTCGCGGGAAAATCGTGGCGGCGAGCAATCGGCAGTTCCGGACGGAAATTGCAAAGTACCTTCATCGGACGTTGCGTGAAAATCGCAGGAACTGCGATTGCCCGTTGGGCCCTCGCGGTTGTCGGCCGTGCGAACGAATTATATTCGTCCATGGTGCAGCGGAGAAGCATCCGTTCGTTGCATCTCGAATCAGAAAATCGTCGACAAAGGCGGTCATAGCGATTAAAAAAAAAATCGCAAAGTACAATTTTCCAATGCTCGGGTCGTCGCACACAAAATTGCATAGCTGCATATGCATGGCGTAAGATCGTCTAGACAAATGGGAATGTTATGTAAATCAATATGGCGATTCAATGCTCGATGGTTTAGACGGTTCTTATGCTACGCACATTGCAAGTCCAAACCAACGAGCATCGTGTATTGAATCGTCATATTGATTTACATAACATGCTCATTGGTCCAGATGGTCTTACGCTATGCATATGCAGCTATGCAATTTTGTGCGCGATGGCCCTTACTCGTTACGCTCGCAGAAGCGACACAGCTATTCTACGGTAAGGGTCTTCGTAGCTTCTTCTGTCTTTTCTACTGTGACAGAAAACTTGTGTCGCAATTACGATAGAAATTAGATATCAAATAGAGTGGCGATCGTGGTGCGGAGAATTGTGCGCTGGTTTGGTAATCCGAAGATCCGGGTTTCAAAGCCAAACAAAACTTTGTTGGTTTTTCGTTCGATTGCCACATAGCGAAGTGGATATAGAGAGAGGTGTTATAAGAGGTTTGGGCACGTTTCTTCCAAAACGCCTTGTAACCCTAAGGGGAATCGATAAACTGTATTTACAGATACCAAATAGCACTTGGGGCAGGAGCTACGGGCTCGGTTTTTCCAACCTCTTGGTAAGCTGACTAATAGTTCAATCACATGTCCGTCTTTGTCCAATTTGAAAGAAAAGAACAAAGACACATGTACGATTGAAGTATTAGTTAACTCACCAAGACCCAGTTTTTCATTCTGGTTAACTGTTAACCAGAGATTAGTCGACCCTCCATCTTCTTTTTTTTGTATTATCGAGGAAGAGACAGAGAAACGACTAGCTTCAGATTAATAGTTAACTAGAAAATTAAAAACCAGGCCCAAGAAGTTGAAACGACCGGTCCCCAGTGCTCTTCCGCGATGCAACTAGAGTCCCTCTAGTCAGAGTCTGGCCAACAGGCGGTTTCGGCAAAATGATGCGGGAGAGAAAGAAACATATTCCACTCTACATGACGTATATACTGTATGTAAAGTGAGAGGGAATATGTTTCTTTCTCTCTCCCATGCATTATTTCGCCGAAACCTGTTGTCCAGACTCTGATTACAGGTACTCTGGATGCAACTGGAGACCCTGCAATCAGAGACTGGCCATAACGATTCTACGATCGCAGAAGAGTGAGATATAGCCTACGTTTCTCTCTCGCTCGTATGGCCAGTCTCTGATTGCAGGGACTCTTATAGGGGCAACGTGCAAAGAGCGCTGGAAAATTCTTGCGAGCGCGGACGCCGAAAAAAAGTGCGAGCGACAAACACTTCTCGCGCGTTGCCGCGTGTTAATTATCGATATTCGCGCGCGGCGCCACAGCGGAGTAATTAACGTGGAAAATTCGCGGACGATACAGCTGCTTTGTGCGGTACGTTATATCCGCGTCACCGTTTTACGCCGCGAGACAAACCTGTGGCGCGCGGTGTAAAAATTACGGACAGATGTTTTTTTTTTCCCCCGGGTAAAAAGCAGCGGCTCCGTAAACGCGCGTGTTGCGACGAGGCGTGGATTAAAAAGGGAGTTGTTTTAAGTTCACGAATATATTGCGAGTACGAATCGCGGCAGCTGCGTGCGTATATTTTAACAGAAAGGATTTCCGGGACGGGGAGATTACGGTTATTAAATTATAAGCGTGGCAATAGGCACGCGTGACAAATTGCCGGGGAAACTTTGCGGATTTACGTCGTATCTTCGTTACGATTTGAACGTCACTGGCGTTTATCAGCCGCGCCCGTCGGATGGATTCAAAATGCTGAAATTGTACGCCGCGCGTCGTGTATTATGCGCATTCCTCGCGGTGCAATTTGAAAAAACGCCAACACTTTGCTAATGCATTTCCCTTAAAAAAAAAAACAAGCCGAATATGCGGCGCCGCGGTACGAATAATCACAACGCGCTGATTCTCTTTATCATATATTAACATTATTAAACCGCTACAATCTAAATATACCTCGCCGCGAACGGGAATTAATTACGTTATCACGAAGCCGCGTTCTCGCAAAACGCATTTATTCAGTCCAGCGATATCTCCGTTGTAACACTTACATCCGCAATTACTCTCCTCTATGAATAAAACGACTTCGAGATGCTGTAATTTATTGCTCAAATGTCGATCTGCTGTGTGTAAGAGAGAGAGAGAGAGAGAGAGAGAGAGAGAGAGAGAGAGAGAGAGAGAGAGAGAGAGAGAGAGAGAGAGAAAGAGAGATAGGATACGTCCTTTTGTATCGAAAAAGACACGTGCCGTTTCTGTATACTTGTTATGCCAATCGGGGCCTCCTCCGTTTACGTTGCGTCGTAACGAGATAAGAGTTACATAATTATATAAATCGCTGGCACGGAATGTTTACTCGTGAATTCGTATCTCGATATTCCTCACGGCCGCATCTGTCCCGAGCTGTAACGGCAATGATACTCCGATACGCGCGTTTATTGCGTCTGGCATTAACTGCCCCGATTTTAGGGTTGATGACAGAGAACGATCCGCAAACGCTCGGTCCTCACCAACGTTGCTCAACTTTAAGCTCAGCTTAATTCGCTTCTTGTCTCTTCCCAACTGTTACTGTAGTCTTATCTACAATGTGCTCTCTGCGTCTAGAAACATTCTGTGCTGCAGGCATTAAAGACACTTGAAAAATGTGTGCAAGTTGATAAATTGTATATTATACATTGCACAATCGTACATTGTCGACAAATTTTTCAAGCGTTTTGATCTGCTTATACAACACAGAATGTTTCTAGACGCAGAGAGCACATTGTAGATTAGACTTTTAGAAAGAGGTAAACGTGAAGTGGAGTAACATTGAAGTTAAGCGACGTCTACGATCGTAGAAAAGTGAGATAGCCTATGTTTCTCTCTCACTCGCAGGAATTTGACGAACTCTCTTATGGCCGGTCTCTGATTACAAGGTCTCTAGGTGAAACTGGGCCTTAGGGCCTGAGCAGAATGGCTATCTTATACTCTTAAGACAGCCTTGAGATAATGCTTTATGTTTTAAGCCTTTGTTCTCAGGTAACGCACAATAATTGTTTTGTGACTTAAGAGTACAAGACCGCCATATTCTGCTCAGGCCTAGGGCAGAGAAAAATTAAAGTCGTGAACTTCACGACTTAAATTTTCCTCTGCCCTGCCTTACGTCCACGACTAAGGGCCTGGGCAGAATGGCTGTATTGTACTCTTAAGTCACTAGACAGTTATTGTGCGTTACTCTAAGGCAAAGATTTAAAACGTAAAACATTGTCTTAAGAGTACAAGACAGTCGCTCTGCTCAGGCCCTAAAATGGACTTGAGCGTTCACGGATCGTTTTCTGCCATCAGCCTAACGCGGATAAACCACGAAACAAAAAAGGAAGCGGATTTCTCGTTATCGCATTTAAAAGATAAGTTGCGATATATGAGGTAAACACTTTGTTGTTGCTGCGATCGCGGACTTAACAAAAAGAAAGGTGCGTCGATTGAAGATCATCAACGATTACGTCGCGAAGACAAGAAAGTGCTATCGCGCACGTTTTATCGGCGCTGCTATCAATTACGTAAGAATCGACATTGACGTTTTGATAAACGGCACGATTCTTCGGTGAAATTCAAGCCAAACTTCTCCCGTGAGGATCCAATTGTATATGAATAAATCGACTCGATATTATTTGAAGAGATTAAATAATAATTCATTCAAGAATGAAAATACGTCTCGAAATTAGGCGAGAGAGGCGATCGGACAATCCGCAGTTATTCCATTCCGCTTTATTCCAAGCGTCCGTCACGCGTACATTTCTGCGATACCCACGTGTCTATTTTTAGCCAAGTTCCCTTAGGCGGCCACGCGCTACGCAGCCCGAACCGCCTCGAGCGCCGCAGCCTTCTCTCCTTATCAATCCAGCGGATTGTTTTTGACACACGCGGGAAGGCGCTCGATCGCGAGAAGAGGCTCCGATCTCGATTTCACGCTAGTCGGAAATTCGATTGGAGGCTCCTTCGGGAAGAAGACACGAGTCCCGAGACGCACATTCCTTCCAGACCACGTATCTTTCAAGCCTACTCGGCAACGTGCTCTTTGCGTCTAGAAACATTTCATTTTGTAGTCAATAAATGTCAGTAAATAAGTTTTAAAAAATTTGCGCAAGTAAATAAATTGTATATTGTACACTGTACAGTGATGGACAGAATGGTTGCGACACTTGTTTTTGAAAATGAATTTAGGAACGTGCATTTAGATTTCTAAACGCCGTAAAAGAAAAGTGTCGCAACCATTCTGCCCATCACTGCGCAATCGTACATTATCGACAAATTTTTCAGCGTTTCGATTGGTTTATACAAAACAGAATAACAAGAAGAATATTATTGTCGCCAGTAATTGATCGAAAACAGGAAGAAAAATTGTTCAACGACGTTAAGGTGGTTTGATTTAACAATTTATTCCAACGATTCGACCACCCGAATTGTGGTCCTTTTCGAGGAATTATATGAATTAGTTGAAATTGTACAATCGAATGTTTTTAGATGCAGAGAGTAGATTGTGCTTTACCGTCGGAATTAATCATCCAGTCGAACGTTATCGCGATCCGTCAGAGTTTGCGATGAATCCCGGGGATTATTGCGCGTTGCAGTCTCAGCGGCCACGAGGTGAAACGATAGATCTCCGTGACTCACAAGGGTATAATCATCTGGCGCTACAGGTGAACGCGTTCAAGACCGTACGCCGGAATCCTTTTTTCTCTCCCCCCCCCCTTTTTTTCCTTGTTCTTTCTCATTAACGCGCAGAACGTGACGGTCACCGGCGCTATGACACCGGCACACGTTCTGCTGACGCAGGAGTAGAAACTAATTACGTTTAACGAGCCGGCGAGAAATGAAGAACGCATTAAAAGGGAATGTGATTAATGCGCTCGCTAAAAATTCCGTTTAGTCGCGCCCATTCGCTCGCCAGTCATATCGGATGTGTAATTAACTGCGAACTGCCGAAAGTTTGTAAACGCGCGACACGACTGCGCTGAAGAAAAACATTTTCGTCACCATAGCTAATCGTGATTGGAAGAATACTTTGCTACCGTAACTATAAATTTTTAATTGAGACGGGAAACTTATAGTCAACCCAACTGGCTAGTTATTTTATTAGTTTATTACACAACGTTTCGACCCTATTTTTGTGGGTTCTTTTCGAGTGGCACTGCAAATCAACAACGACGTAATCATGAAATAATGTAAGTTAATAAGTAAAACGGCTAAAAGTTAAGCAACGCACCTAGGTCGGTCATCGTCGTCGAATAAGACAGAGTATAAATTTTTAAGCCACAGCGAACGATTTGCTGCCGCACCTAATGCAATAGGCACAGTAGCAAAATATTAGCTATCGCAACTAAATATCAGCTGTCCATATTTGACAACTGAAATTTAGTTACCGCATGCAGTTTTTAGCTACGGCAGCTACATTATTTTCCCGTGCGACAATGAACGAGGCAGAATGACTTTTGTCTCGAATAAACAATCAAGAAATTGTATTAATGTATCAATAATTTGAAGCCCGTTAAGTCTCGCCTGCGGACATCTATTGCGGGAATCTCCTTTTTTCTCATTCGTTAGTGTATTTGCATAATTATTTCACGGCCGATATTTGAGCATAGATATCTGTATCGATTGCACCTGTCGCGAGGAAAACGTTAGAAATGACCGCCCTATCGATCTCGGCACTTGTCTCGTAGCTCGCCGACTCGCGGAATATCAGAGAGGCTCTCCGCGAAAAATATCTTGAATTCTGAACCACTCGCGAGCTGCACCGCGAGACTCGGTGTGTGTCTGCCTATCGAGAAAAGTATCGCGACGTAAATATTCACGTTGGCAAACTCCGGAACCGGTATGCCAAAGAATAAATAAACCGGTTTGACCGGCGGGTTTTATATAACTTGTAAAATGCGACATAGAATTTCTATCGAACGGAACGAAAGCGCTTTCCATGCCTCCGCTAAGTACGCGCATTGGAATATTTTGTAAAAGCGCGATATGTACAGGGAGGTTCCCTATTATGAGACAGGTTCCTAATACGAGATAGCGGAGGCTTCTGCTAAACCAAGGCATTATCCGTTGGTTCCACCATGCATTTATTGCCCTCGAAGTGAAATCTGTTTAGTGGAAAATTCATTGTTAGATCGTGCAATCGTCGCGAAAAGGATTTGCGATTTAATTGGAATTTTGAAAAACCTGCTATCTCATATTAGAAGCCTATCATTTGAGGGAGGACTTTCTTCTATATATACGTAACAGAGATAAACGTGGCCGTTATTTATTATCTCAATCATTGGAAAAAGCCGAATTCTTCTCAGCAGTTCCTTTCGCGTTATTGTTTTAGGGAAATCAGCGGAGACTCGGCGACCCGAGCAGCCACGATCCAAAGAAAGCTGCGACTTGTGCAAAGAAACGAAAAGGAGAAGCCTGGCGGTTTACATAAGAACTAAGTCACGAAGTGATTCCTGTCACGAAGGGATCAACGAGGAAGAAGAGGAGAACGACGCGATGTGCAATGAGAGAAAAGCCGCAGACGCCGACCGAAATAAATCGGCCAAGTCGTCACGCGGTGCAGACAAATCATAGCCTCTAGGTATCACGTGCAACGATCACGACAATAACAATAATTTTTGATTACGATAAGCAATAACGGATATATATATACGCGTAAGGGTTATTTTTAACTGGAACTAACATGTTAGATTTATGACCATCGAACCCACACGTCTGTTTCGACAAATACGTTGTAGAATGGCAAAACGCAATCGGTTCTCGAAACTCTTGTATCATATTTACAGCGTGCAACATGTTTTCGTTATTTTAATTAGACGCGTAAATTAGATACTAAGGTGGAATTTGTTAGACGTTATATCTTTCAAAGGCAGGTGTGAGTCAAATAAATTTTCCAGGATAGAAAGATAAACTCGGATTAAGATTTGTACCGCAGTAAGCGTGGTAAATAGGAATAGTTCATATCATCACTCAACTCCATACAATTCTTTCGGTTATACATCGTTAATTTTGTCAGCATTGCACGTTAGTCATTCAACGAATATCCGTGTAAATATGAATGCAAATACGCTCCTACAAACGTCAATTCTCGCTAAATTTATCTTCGAATTTTGAAAATCATATCCACGCTTGCACGCAAATTGAACTCGTACTATTGAAAATACAGAGAAAGAAAAAGAAAATATTGCAATCGTAATTTTAGCATCAGTTGCAGATATATCTAGAATGAGAAGAACACAGTAACTGCAAAATTGATTTAAGACTTCAATAAAGTTTGTTATAATGAAGGAAAACACTCACAAATTAACTGCTTGATTTATAAGACTGACTACGCGATTCTGTATTTTATAAGCATAACGAAATAAGTTATAGTTTAGGTACCCGTGTAACAATATTGTCGTTACATTAACATCTATGTATAGCGTACAGTACTTAATTCTGACAAATAAGACTTTTAATTCTCTTTTTTTTTTAATATAAAGATGAAGAAACACGGCAGATGCCAAGTTAGTTTTACCAGTTATTTTACTCGTATTTCTACAATTATTTCTTAAGATATGTATTTGTAAGTTATTGTATGATCGGATGTAACAAACCACGTTGCTACCATGAGCATTTTTATTTTACATACTTGCATAATTTTAATAACATTACAATTACTTGTAAATGTTAAGAAAATTACCATATTAGTAACAATAATAATTTGGAGCATACACATAGATGTCCGCTTCTCTAAATTATTATGTCTTTAATATAGAGGAAAGTGTCTTTATGAGGTAGACTCTTAATACGAGATAGCGGAGCTTCTGCTAAATTAATAGGAGTCATCTGTTGGTTCCATCATAAATTTATTGTCCTTGGAGTAAAATTTGTTTGGTGGAAAGTTCATTGTTAGACGGTGTAATCGTTGCTAAAAATGATTTGCGATTGAATTTGGATGTTGAAAACCTTCTATCTCATATTAAAGGCCTATCTCATAACAAAGGGCTTTCCTCTAATCCTCACAGATCTTTGTCTTTCTTTCTTTCCAATAGAGAAGTATCCGTCACGTCCCAAAACTGCCTGAATTTATCTATACTGGCGGTCACGCGAGCCAAATTGCCATTTCAAGCAATTACGAAAGGCACGAAGTAGAAAAATATTGATATTCTACAAGAGACCGGAATCACGTAAGGATCGTCACACAAGACAAGTCTATTTCTTCGTATTCATTCAAGAATACTTTTAGGCTCCCAATTTTTCAAAGAACGCGCTTATTAGGTCTGTAGTAATTTTCGCGTTTTCGCTAAATTGAAACGTACATGGATAAAATAGCACTTACCTTTAACAGCCATGTCAACACTGACTCACGGTACGGCACGAAGCCCTGTTTACGATTGTTTGTGTTCTCCGTGAGTGATGCAATTACCTTCCCCAGGGTAAGTAAAGATTTGTTGATAGATACACCTTCCTGTTAAACGCAAACCAATATACATTGCACAACGTTATCAATTCAATATATACTTGGCATAAAACATCACTGTCAGAAACTGACTCTTAATCTATCACCAGTTGCAGAAGTCTGGCTCAGTCTCTCGCTACCAGCCAGGTCAACCAGGTTAATTTTACTGCGACGATTGGCGTCGACTGTTTTGCGATCCAACTGATCGTCCGAATGCGTCTGAGTTAATATAACACTGAAAATGCTGTGAGACCGCGAGCTCTTCTCGTTCATGCCAGTCGCGGCTGTGGCTCTCTGTGAGTTGCCCACTTTAAGCCAAGTCTAAAAAGATCGCATCAACAAAGAGATAAATGTGTACTGAGAATATTAATCGTAATCGCGCTTAGTAATTGTGACAAAGGTACCTGCAGGTCTTTGTAATTTTGTACACAATGCTGGCTCAGGTCGACGACGTAGGGACCGAAGACAGGATGCTCTCTTACTTTAAGGGGAGCCTTTTTCGACCCGTTGTTCGTACTCGCCAGGAGATCGTGTATCTTTTCGTTATATATCTCGAAGTAACTGATCTCTACGGTGGTCTCGATCTGCGGATTGTCGCCCGCTCGTGTAAATATTTCCTGGCAAAATCTCGGGATGATACCGACTCTCTCGTCGAGTGGCGTTGCGCTCAGCTGCGCGGACTCGGTGCCCATTAAACTGTAACTCTTTCCAGATCCCGTCTGTCCGTACGCGAAAAGGCAGACGTTGTAACCCTCGAAGGCGTTTTGTACCAAGGGCGACACCATATTGCGAAAGACGACCTCCTGGCTGGCGTGACCGGGCGTGTGCGGGTCGTCGTACGAGACGAAGCAATGATCGTACACGAAAGTGTGGTGCGCGGATTCGCATTCCACAACGACACTCTGACCATCTCCCTGCAAGACCGTCGCAACCTTCGGGTCGTTCGATTCCCTGAAATTACAAATACTGCAATGAAATGCCGCTCCACCAATGTAACGTGGAATAAAAATTGACGAAGGTAAATTAAAGACGAAGATCAAATTAAATAATCTCATCAATGGCTGCCTTGCAACTGTTGTAAAAATCTTGAATCCGATTGGCGTATGCTCTTTGGCAGAATCTAAGAGCGAATTTTACAACAGTTGCAAAGCAGTTTTTTTTCTGCTAAACGCGGCCAGTAAAGGCCTGTGTCCACGATGCCAGAACTTGGTCCAAGTTTCAGTTTCGAGAAATGTGCAGCCGATCAACGCGCAGCTTTTATGGAATAGTCGCAAGTTGACTGGCCACACATTTCTCAGAACTAAAACTTGGACCAAGTTCTGTCATCGTGGACACAGGCTTTAGAAGATTCCAAGATACATACTAGTATCTATGCTGAAAATTACAAGTTGAATACGCACAACTTTCATCTCAATTACAAGCGACGAAAAGAAGACTAAGATAAACATGCAGCAATAAAACTTGGCCAGTCGTGTCCAGTCTAACTCACTTGGCAGTCAAGGGCCTGATGCGTATCCCTACTGTGAGATTGCTACTTTCGCCCTCGTACATCGTCTGTTCTCCCATCACTATGTCGTCAATTTTGTGGGACGGGGTCTCCAGATGAACCGCGTTAAAGCAGTCAGGCGTGCTCTGCGACAGAGCGTGGTCGCTGAAGTAACGTTTCACAGGCGTCCTCGCGTTGCATCTGGCGTCGGCGCTGGGCGTGTTCGCCACCCTCGTGTGCTTGGGCGTGTACAACTGTATGGCGGGCGTCCTGTCGCTGAACAATCCGCCAGCGAGTCTCCTTTTGACCGGCGTCTTTGGGTTCCTGTCGCTGGATGTGACATTGGAGCTCGTACCCTCCTGCTGCGTCGGGTTCGCAGGCTTCAGGCAGAGTCTTGCGTCGGCCGACTTGCCCGGGGAACCCGAAGCCTCCACCAACTCGAGTCTCGACGACGCCTTCTGCAGGGGACATTGCGTCGGCTTGCATGCGCTCCGAGTCTTCGTTGAGGTGGACGGTTCGCTCAACAGGGAAGAGTACAGATTTTTCTTTCTACAACAGGAAGGCCTTCATTTTATTTCGGTAAGCCTCTTGGATTCAACGAGCATCGTAGAAGCGTAAGAGTAACGAGCGTTCGAAGGCTTGAAGATAAAACCGTATTTCATTGTATTGTTCTCAACTTTGTATGTGAAATATGTGTTATTGTTTTACTTGTGTTACTGTTACGCGAATGAAAAAGGAAGGTATTCATTTGATTTTCGGTGCTGGACAAACGACGGGTGATCGACGGGACCGATTGTCTCGCTGACACGCAATAATTCTCGACGCACATGTGTCGCGCGTAACGGTTAAACAACGTCAACCGAGTTCGGCCTCACGTTTTTAGCGCCGGGACGACGTTGTCCTTGCTCGAGCTCCTCGGCGAGGTCGAGAAGATGGCCTCGCAGTAGCCGTGACCGGTGGGTTTCTGATTGTGCTGCGACATTTCCCGGCGTAAACCGCGTCAAACAAACCGTCCGACGACACAACGAGAATTTGAACTGATTTGAGTTGCGCGACCTAACTTTACGAGGCGTATACACCGGCGCGCGATTCGCGGCGCACGAAGTGTAGAGTAGTGTAGACGGCGCGGACTCGCCCCCCCCCCCCGCTGTCCGCCATTTTGCGGATTAGCGCGGCGCGATTTTTGAAAAACGTTCACGTTACCCTGCAAGTTTTACCCAACATTTTATAGGCCGGTATTCATAGTCGAGTCTTACTTCAAAATCGTCTTAGGTGTTGTCTTAAGAGGCTAATACGGCTCTGCGATTGGTTAAAAACACATTAAGAGTATACTTAAGACGATCTTAAATATAAGAACGGACTATGAATACCGGCCATAGACTACGTTTCCACCGGGGGTCAGAGTCGGGCTAGAGTTGGGTCAGAATCGGGTTGGGATGAGCGCTCTTGTGGTGGAAATACTAAAACACCAAACCCCAATCAGATTCTGACCCGACTCTGACCCTCGGTGGAAACGTGGTCATTGGCTGATCGATCGGGAATTGTCCAATCTCATGCCCGAGTAGTTTCTGGTCCGCACCCCAGTGAGAAATGATTCGTCGATCGATGTTGAAACGATGTCGAATCGACGTCAATTTGACGGTATCGATGTCGATTCGACATCGTTTCGACATCGATCGACGAATCATTTCTCACTGTGACGAGCCGGGGGGGGGGATAATGAAGCTCTCGCACGTGGCGCCACTCGCGTCGCCTTAAGCCCGTATCAGACTACGAATTGA